CTCTCCATTCCATATTTTGCTCCTTTCTAGTTACTTATTTTTTAATCAATGTGACTAAGGCGCTATGCCTTCCCGATGTTTTCTATCAGGCATATGCTTTTCAGAAATCTAACACTCACCCAAAAAAAAAAAAAAAAAAAAAAAAAACGAAAAGGTTTTTCCTCCATGTCAACTTTAGTTATGTTGTGAAGGATTGTGCCACTAAGTTTTCCATACAGACTGAGTTTTTCCATGTATATATATCCAACTAGTAATGCATTAGATCCTTAAGTAGTTTACATTGGTTGAATGAGCAACTCCTTGATACGTTCTGTGGTTTGAAGGTCTGGATTTCCATAGCCATCTCCATTGTGGTACATACAATAGGCCATCCGTGCAAGGTTAACTGCAATATTCGTATATGGTTTAGGAAAGAGGGAAGGAGTAAGACACTCTCCCTTGAGCTTTTTCCAACAATTCCTGATCAACTCCTTCATGTCACTACGAGCTAGTTCCTCAGATGCCCCGGTTTCATGCATGTAGCATTGAATAGATGTTGGTGCATCTCCTCTTTGGATCTCATCCTGCATAAGTCACACCATTAAATGATATCACCCAAATGTTGCTCAATAGCATATGATAAAAACTTTGTAAGATAATTGCTAGCCTCACCGTAGAAGTCGCCAAGTCGTTGCAAAGTCTAAAAATCAACGATGGCCACCGAATGAGGTTCGGGTCATTGCGTGTGCAATTTATTGCCTCTTCTGTAATATTTTGTGCAACAAGGAAATATGCATCGACCAAGATTAGTGGCCCTGATACTGATATCCATCCATTACTCAGATACTCATCTAAGGTCAGTGTATAACCCATCTTGAACCACTTTGCCTCAACCAGGAATGCATTACATAGTTCTGCCCAATGAAATCCACAGTCAGCACATGATTTACTATGTGTAACTCTTTGAGTAAAATAAACATACCAAGTGGAGGATACAGTACCATCTTCTTAAGGTAGTATTTGATATCCCATCCTTTTTCCTTCATAATGTTGTAAGTTCTCTTGTCAATTGTGTTGTATAATGCCAAATAACATACAATTGGGTTGTATAATGCCAAATAACATATTTTCATATAGTCTGGAAGGCTCTTCATGGCTTTTAAATCCCATCTGAAATTTCCATGAGATATAATATAACAATAAGGCCTCGTTTGTATGGCCCAACCACTCCACTAAGGAAGGGTATAGTTTGTAAAAAAGAAAAAAAGAAGGGCTTTATTGGTAGTGTTTCTTAGTAAGCAAGATTAATATGAAGGGTCTTACTTGCGAATGATGCATGGGACAAAGCTACGTCATTTTACACTCTTAAATAGGTGGAGGGAAAAAATATGTTGTTCCTCAATAAATGATATCCATGAACATGACGCAATTTATTGAGATAAATTCATTGAAGAACTATAAAATTTACATGCTCTTAGGCTGTGTGAGGGTTTGGAGGGGGGGTTGCGTGCCATACTCTAAATCACCCTTGTTTCAGAATGTTCATTTTAAAAACATTTCTGTCATAAAAATATCAGTTTATTCCAACCAATCGTAAAAACGAAATAGTCTATTTTAACTTAAATTCTTATCCCTTGGTTTAAAAAAATAAAACTCAAATAAGAAAGTTTTCATTTTGAATGTGATTGAAAAAATGATGGTCATTCTTTAAAAAGTGCTCTTAGCAGCTGCCTGGTTGCGGTCATCCTTCAAAGTACCATATGAATGAATTCAAGATATAGCATTTTTAGGGCTCCAAATCTATTTTCCCTTTCAAAAACTTCATAGGGGTGGGCAAGAAAATTGGAAGGAAAAATTTTCATTCGTCACCCATCCAAGGCTAAGGCCAGGCAAATAGGTTTTCCTTCTTAAAATATCTAAAAAATCAGTAACCTTCTGATCTCTGCATCTCTGCAGGGCTGCTTACTAGTTGGATGCTAAAGGAGGAAAGAAGAACCAAATATTTTCATACCTTTGAACCGCCATGGTGAAGAGTTCCAATTCATCTTCTGACCCATAAATGTCATAAACATCATCAATAGATGCAATTAGGCAGCTTATTTTGGCGAGGGCCAACCTAGTCATGCTGAATTCAGGCTCGAAAATAAGCCCTATCGTCCACCATAAAGTTTCAACTAGCCGGTCTCTAACGAACGGTAGGTCTGTTGCGAACCTCAAATCTGCCCACCACCTACATAGACAAAAATAGTTACAAATCAGCCCACCACCTACAGAGACAAAAATAGTTACAGGCACAAGAGTTATGTTGAGCAATGAGATATGGATAAAAGTCATTAGTAGCCATGACTTTGACATATGTGTAAGATCTTCTTGGTGTATGCATTGTACTGAGTTGAAGTCCATTGTAGCAAATTCAAGCAAAATGGGGACCGTGTGATCCTCTTGCTCATAGACTCCCATGTAATGTTTAGCCTCTTGCCTGATCATTCTCCAATGCAACGGAATCTCTAAGGAATGTTGTACTTTTTTTAGCAAGACTTGGCTCTAGTTGATCCATCAAAGCCATCTTGAGGTTCCTACTATTGAAAGCCCAAGCTGCATCTAATATATGTTCTCCAAGTAAGCACAAGTGAGAAGCTTCATACAAGCTCAACATTCCCTTCACATCTCCAACCAAACTTACTTTGAAACTCCCTTTTTCGTCCTTGAATGCACCAAATACATCTGGTGACACACATTTCATTCAGTTTGGTAAATAATGGATTTTTAATGAAGGAACTATGAGGATATTTAGAAATAGATAGATTCCATCAACAACGCTTCCTATATCCGCTTCTATTCCAGGAGTATATCTATGCACTTGCTTATAATCATGGCTTAAATGGATTAATTCTTAATGTTTGCTAGCTAACTTCTACTTGTTCAATCATTTCAAGTTTCAAAGGAAACTATAATTTCAAACAAAAGGGATGTAACAGAGTTCTAAGTAACAAACTTATAAAAGTATTGTCTTTGCTATGTACCGGATGACATATGATATCCATGTTGTCTGAGTAGCCGAAATGCGAGTGAGACTGTGTAGAGATCATCACTCCATGACTGCTGGATATTTCCACTGGTGTACATGTTGTCTAGAGCCACTTGGATCTCCTCTTCAAAGTGATATACCACTCCCAATCGTTGGATGGAGTCTATGAGCTCAAGCAATGCAACTGGTTCATTTATTCTCTCTGCCAGAAGTGCCTTGAGTTGTTGCTTTAGAACCTTGGATCGGTTAATATATTGCTCTCCCTGCTTGAAAATCCTTAACTCCATCAATCCAAAAAAAGGGAACAGAATTCCTGAATAAAGAAACAACTATTAGCCACATGTGTTCACTTTCATGGTTCAAAAATGTTTTCAATATAGCAGAGGAGCAAACATAGTGGGTAGTATATTGAATTTGAAATCAAGAAAATTATTTGGAGTAACAAGAATTATTTGAAAGGCAATTGATATGTAGTGGATATATCCAGTAATATCTGCAAAATAACAAAAATTAAAGGATATGTAATGAATATTTTCACATTTCTTGTATGGTATTTTGAAACCCAACATAGCCTTTATGTTAAGGACAAGCTTTCTATGCTTCCCTTACACCATAAAACTTCTATACTTCCCCTTATCCAACCCTCCATTTTGAATGGAGGGCTAAGATTTTTCCGATCACATTGTCACATCTTTACACTATTTTATTTTTAAGTTTTTTTCTATAAACTATTTTGACACCAAATTTTGGATGTCCAATCTTCTATTAAACTCGCACTCGTAAAAAATATAAAAGAAATATTTTCAATAAAATAAAATGACCAAACTACCCCTAAAATATTCAAGGGGTATTTTGGTCATTATATTTTATAGAAAAATTATTTTTAATATTTTTTATAAGTGTACCCCAATGAGAATATGACACGTACCAAATTTCATATTTATAAAATTTATATAAAAAACAATAAAAACAAAATACTTTGAGACATCTGATTTAAGATCAAATGATGGGTGGCTCTCTTGATCAAAATTGGATGGCTGGATGGTAGGCGAAACATAGATCTTATATACTATAGGTGAAGTATAGAAACCTTTCCTTTATGTTAATGAGTAATGATCCTATAGGACCCTCCCCCACCCATGTGTGTAGTACCCTAAATGATCACCATTAAAATTGGCATAGATCTTTAGAAAAATATCACATGGGTGTGAGACTTGATTTTTTTAGATATTTGTGCCAACTTTAATTAGGGGTCCTACACACATGGGTGGGAGGGTGCTATAGATAATTATTGTATTAGATGGTTTATCTATTGCCAAAAGATTTCATACTTACGAGGGAGTACACTATCTATTTACTCCCTTGGATAAAACCCAATCTAGGAGAAATTTAGGATCCCACATTGGGGAATATCACATTATCTACCTGGTAGACTAACCTCCAAAAAGAAAAAATTCCAATCTCACTCTTTATGCACTTCAAGACAAAATAGTGTCAAGACTGAACCATGACTGCCCAATTTATTAGGGGGAGAAAAGCTTATAATTCAACTCTTTTGAAAATAATCTTACAATGATTCATAGGTAGTTCCCCAAATTTTAGATTAAAATAATCCACCCAAAGAATTGTATTCCCCAAGGGAGTAGATATGCAGAAATGCGCCCGCAAGAGCATAGTAAAGGGTCTCCTATCTATAGTATTTATTCCACATATATTAACACATTATTATGGATAAGGACATTGAGGCACTCAATAAGTTTAAGACCATATAGAGAGAGTCTTTAGAGTGGGATACTTCTTGAGGGGGGGCTAAAGTTCTAGGTAACTTCGTAATCCAATTTCATTTCTATCTTTTTCTATAATAAATAATTTTGAATCTATCCCATTTTAAGGGTTATTCAATTTATTAAAAACTTAATTCTTAATCCCCGAAATTTAAAGATTTTATCGTTAGGAAAAAAATTATGTGTTTTTGCATTTGTAAGCGGTAATCACAATAACTTAAGGGAAAAAGTTTATATAAAATTGAGGCTCTAAAGAATCAAACTAAGGGACACCTCAATTATTCACCCGAAAAAGTAGTTTTGATGGTGAAAAACCTTCAAATCCAATCATCTCTACCTTAAGATACATGGACGAAAAAAAAAGTGACTTAGTCTTGAAAATAGTGCATTTTGTAATGCATAATCTAAATGGTCATTTTGAATATTTTCAAGTGTTCATTGATCGACTTGATTTACATATTTTAAATATTTAAATTTTATAAAGAGGTGAAAATAAATTTTCAGGCCACCATAAAAGTTTTTTTATGCTAAAACGATATCTTTGACCACTACTTGAAGATTCGCCTTACTTTGATTGCTTGGGGCCCTAGCCTTGTACAAATCACAGTCTGCTATGTTTGACAAAACAGAATTTAAAAATCTCGATGTTTGAAAATTTGAATAAAGACATTAGTGGCATCTCATTTATTGGGATTATGTATTTTTTTGATATTTATTCTTTTGTGTCTGTTTGACAATTTACCCATATTTCATATTTTTACTAGATAAGAACAGTAAAGAGCATAGAATCAAAGAATTCCAATGCTTCCATTCACTGCCTCACCTGAGTGTAGCTGACCAAAACAGTTCTCCATGATATTGTAAATTGAGCAATACCATCTCTCCATTTCTCACCTTACATGTAAACAAGACTTTATCTCTCTCTCTCCACTATTTCATCAAGCCCTCTGTAAGAAAAACCCAATGAGCACAAGGCTTTGTTTTGTTCACATGGCAATGTCATATATCCAGCCTTTGATGGCCATGACAAGAGGCTTCTTTGGGTTGGAGGCATCATAGGCTTGAAGCTCCTGCTCAATAATAACTGCCTCCGACTCAATAATATTATCCAAGTGAACTGCCTCCAAATTCATGGCATCAACGCCATCTCCATGGCTCAGAGAGGTATAGGGTTTGCAAATCAGGTGGAAGAGACCCCATTAAAGACAAGATGGTGAATAAAGCCAGTAGACAGAGAAAGGAAGTTGAGAGATCTTTGTACAAAGTGAGAGTACTGAGGATCAATGAGTTAGAGAGAGATTAGGGTTAAACATAGGAGGGAGGGAGGGAGGGAGGGATGGAGAGAGAGAAGGGGAGGAGAGAGAGAAGGGGTCTGGAGAGAGAAGGCCTCCTTTGATTGTTAGTTGAGACTAAAATCAACTAATAGTTGAATTGTCTAATACAATGATTTTGACCATTTATCTGGATATTCGAGCATACAATTTTGACTTGTCAAACATTATTTTTTACTTTTAGTATTTTCTTTTTCTAAATTACTCATAATTATGAAATATTTAGATATTTGAGTACAATCATAATACTAATCACAAGAACTACATTAACAAACTGCAAGAATGGTAGCCCAAGGTATAAGAATATTAATCACTGAAGAAAACAAAAAGACCCCCAACGTAGGATTGCAAGAAATTAAAACACAAAAATCAAAGTATATAAAATAGTAGTCCATCCAAAATGCTATGTTGTGCAAGCCAATAAAATAAAACAAAAAATAATAAATATTGTGAAATTCAACAAATTTCTATATGCAAAAAGAAAGTTTCAAAATACTTAAGCAAATCTAAAAATTCGAACCACACCCTAAATTCCTAGCTACTTGTATCTTTATATCTTTATATGTGACTAGATCTCTCTCTTGCTCTTTACAATTACGCTCTATGTTTTGAGAAAATAAAATTTTCATTAGGTTATTTTTCCTCTAAATCTAACTATTATTTTGAGATATATGGTTATTTTGATACACTATTTTTTATGGAATATATTGCACTTTTTTAAAGGAACACATTGGTGAAAATTTTTATGGAAATTTTTGTTAAATCAAGATTATTAATAAGCTCCCACTTTCAATATACTTATATTTAAACTAAAATCCAAAGAATTTAAATCAATGAAGAGATAAAATTATGAGGAAGAGGTTTTTTGAAAACATTCTATGAACAAAGAAGTATGGATTTATATTGGTTCCATTAGAAAAACACAACTTCTTGAAGATATTTTGAAAAACTTGGAGTTTTTAACAGATTTAAAAATACGATAGGATTTTTCAAAAAATATTGTGTTGTAATCGGAGACTTGCTAACTGTGGGCGTTTCTCACGATTGAGTAGATAATTAGTAGTTTTAGATCTTAAGAGGGAAAATAAAACATAGAAAAAGGGAGTTGAGTCAAGCATATATATCTTAACGTCTTAAGCATAGTTACTGATAGCGGGAATGGGAGCGGTTTCTGTTCTGAGAGTGGGAGCGTCGGATCGATGGCTGTTCGAAGCTCCGAAGTTCGGGGAGCGAGTTTCGTTGATGGTAGAAGTTACAGATCGAGATCGCGAGATCCCGATATATTGGGATTGAGATCCCTATTTAATGGGAACGCGTTTCATGTATTTACGGAACAAGATATCGTTTGATTAGGGAGCGAGATCCCATTTGAATAGGGAGCGAGATCTTGATACATTGGGATCGAGATCCCTATTTGACAGGAAGGTGTTACATGTAACATGGGATTGTGCTCCCATATCTATTAGGATCACGCTTCGTGAACAACAAGAACGATATCCCATTTAATGTTGAGTCTCACCCCCATCTAAACAATACCATGATCCTATTTGGCTAGGATCGAGCTCCATTCATTATAGGATCGCGTTCCGCATAATGGTGGTCCGCGTCCCCATCGCAGAACTCTACTTGTACGAAGAACCCAATTCCATTATACATGGATTCGTGCACCAACTAAGCACGGCAGCCTGTTCCCATATAAATGTGATCTCAATTTGGTTAAATTTAGAAACCATTGTTCTATCTATCAATGGCCCATGCAGCTAGATCCATGCACAACCAATCCTAGATGTCCATGGAATAATTAAATCCTATTAATCTAGTATGAAATAAAGTCTTCTAATGCTATGGACGATTAATGTTAGTATTTTTCAAATTCGCATACATGATACGAAAATGATCTTTACGCTAGCACTTGTATACATGGAAATATATTGTCTAGGATTTGGGTACCATTTGGATACAACTTAAGCATAAATGGTTACTGTTAGGCTTAAATTCAGGAAATGCATCACTGTTATTTTTTGGTAGAAATAACAATGCGAAAATTTTACTAAAAATATTAATTTTTATATTTAAATGTTATTTTTATTTAAGAATTTTCTTTTAGAAAGTTATAAAATGGTAAAATAAATTTATTCAAATTTCAAAAACATTATTGTCAAAGAAATAAAG